TATTAGGATGGATTTGAGACGAACGAAGGAGATCAGATGGGACACGAGGGTGATATCCCAAGTTACATTAGTAAGGAGACATGCCGGTGGTTGGTGAAATAGTATGGTTACAAGCAATCTCGACATGGGCGAGATGAAGGTCGCAATCATAGTCATTCTCAACAAACTTTTTGAGAATATTACCAAGAGTTTTATTGGTGACCTCGGTCTATCCGTCTGACTGGGGATGGTTAGAAGAGGAGAAGCAAAGCGTAGAGTCGTAGATCTCGTGGAGTCCACGCCAGAAGTGGGAAGTGAAGCGGGGGTCACCGTTAGAGACAATATTAGTAGGAAGGCCGTGATGAATGGCGATGCGGTTGAAATAGAGTCAGGCGATGCGGTTGAAATAGAGTGAGGTGATGTTTTTAGTTGAGCTAGCATATTTGCAAGGAAGGAAATGAGCATGCTTAGTCAGCCGACAGACAACAACGAAGATGGCATCGTGACCTTCTGGGGTAGAGGGAAGAAGAGGACCCATGAAGTCCATGGAAATAGAAGTCCAACACCGAGTAGGAATGGGTAAGGGATGAAGAAGACCGTAGGGGGGATATGATTGGTAATATTGGCCTCTTGGCAGATCTTGCACGTGTGGACATACTCCTTCATGAAGGTGCGACGATGCCTCCAATAGTAATGGCGGTTGAGGCGGTCGAGAGTCTTGTAGACACCGAAATGACTGGCGGCGCGGTGATCATGACTCTCAGCGACCGCCCGAACGCGGAGCTGGCCGGTAGAAGGCACACATAAACGAGGAGTACGAGGATGATGGAGTCCAAGCCAAGAAAAGAGTCCAGAAGGGTCGAGTTGGAAGTTAGGGACGGTCTTGCCAGCCTGTAAGTCAGTGTAGATGGGCTGAAACTCAGAACACTGGGGCTAAGCACGACGATACTCATCGAGGAAAGCTGGATGGATAATGGGAGTAGAGACAGAAAGAGCAGAGAGCTGTCGATCATCGCACTTAAGGTCAGGGCGGCAGGATAAGACATCTGCAACACGGTTGCTCTTGCCAGGGATCTTCCTGATGGTGAAGTCGAACTCGGAAAGATCACGCCACCAACGAGCCTGACGAGAAGTCAGTTTAGGCTTCTTCTGAAAGGCAGTGAGGACAGAGTTGTCCGTGAGCACAATGAAGGTATGACCGTGTAGATGATGACGCCACTTCTTAAACGTAAACTAGCGCGAGAACCTCACGCTTGTCGGCGGTATAGTTACGTTCTGCGGAAAGTAGTTGTCGAGAGAGATAAGCAACCGAACACTTTCCATCGCGAGACCCAACTGTACCGTCGTTGGCGACGTCAGGAATATATGGAGGGGGCTCCTGAAGGAGTGGGCTCAATGGGTGCGAGGTGAGCCGCAGTCGCTGGAGGTGGAAGAGGGAATCGGGGAATGAGAGGGAGTCGAGACTCCGTGGAATCGGGTGAAGTAGAAGGGGCTGAGTAGATCTGAGATAAAACAACTCCAATAGCAAAGTCCGAAGCGTCCGTGGCGACAATGAATGGACGAGACTAGTCTGGGAGGTGTAGAATGGGAGCTGGCGTGACAAGCCGCTTGAAAGAGGGGAAGGCATCCTCATGAGTCAGGGTCCAATGAATGGTAACCGTCCGCGGGTGAGAGGTGTAAGCTGGGCCGTATACGGCGTGTAGTTTTTAAGAAAATGACCATAGTAGTTGGTCAACCCAAGGAAACTACGTAGCGCAGGAAGAGAGGTAGGAGTGAGCCAATCGATAATGACCTGAATCTTCGAGTCGTTCGTGTGGAGTCCGTGCTCGGAGACCTGATGCCCAAGGAAGTCAACTTTGGGTTGAACGAAGCGGCATTTGGAGAGCTTCGCATAAAACCCATGGTCGCGTAATCGCTGGAGGGCAGTGCGAAGGTGGGACAGACGAGACCTGGCGTCTATAAATAAGCACCGGCGGGATACCTTCCATTGGCTGTGATCGTTGTCCCGTTTGCGACGTTAAAGAATTCCTGAGGACTTCGGGGGCCGTCCATAAAAACGCCTCCTGATCAGCCAATCGGTCGGTGTAAGGCTCGCTGCACGCGAGGATAAACACAGTGCAGGGCTGGCCAGTTCAGCAGGACTCGGGGCACAGGGGTGGGCCGTGTGCACACCTTTAGACACGCACGCTATCTGGATGGCTCAGGGACGTTGACGACAAGAGACATTCAAGAAAAATTGAGGGAGGGGTAGATTGCATGTGATAATTTTGGGCAAGATTCCATTCTGCAAACAGACCCAACCAACAATTCTATTTTTATTTTGATTAGTTAGATATACAACCATTGACATCTGACAGACAACATAGTTTAGAACTGTTCTTTGTTCATTGTGCTTCTATTTGCGAACTAGTCAAAGTCAAAGTAGTTTCATTTGTAGGAATCTGAACTTACCTGTTGAACCCAAATGTATCTACTCTGACATAGTCACCGATTAATTAACCGGTCTGTGCATGACGCTGCGGTAGGCATCGGATGAGTGTTCTAGTGTAGACGGTGTGCAGTCTGTAGCTTATGAGCGACAGGGAGGTCCCACAACCGGGCGACAGGCTCTTGCGATCGGCTATACGCCCAGTAGCCCACTTGGCCCTAGGACCAAAGGTGACAGGTTTCTGTTCCGCCAGCTTAGGGAGAGGCAGCAGCAACAGAGGAGAGCTAGGGCAGCAGAGGCCAGCAAGGCGTTCGCAAGCGAAGCCGCAACTTCAGCAGCCATGGCAACTTCTGCGCAGCAGAGTTCCCAGGCTAGCAGTTCAGGGACTGTAGGGTCAATGGTCGTGCAGACCATGAGTCAGTCCACTGGCATAATGGCAAGCCATCCAATAGTGTCGACTCCCGAGGAGGTCGCCATACAGCGAGCTGTTGATCGCGAGGCACAACTACAGAAGGCTTTAGGAGAGATTGAGGCAGAAAAAGAAAGAATGATTAGGAGAAGAGCCAGGTTGCAGCGGCGACAAACGGACATTAACAAGTTAAAGGAGATGGACCCAGAGGAGTTGGATGATCAGGTGAGGACCCTAAGGTGGGTCTTGTTAGGTGTAGTAGAGATGCAAGACCAGCAGACGACGATCTTACAGGATATCCAGCAGAGTCTGGCCGTCTTGGTCGGACGAGCGCAGGCGGCACCATCACTGTCCGGGCCTGGTGTCTGGCCCGTTGTACATCCTCCTCCTTTTGTCCCACCGGTGACTGGGGTATCCCCATATACCGCTCCAGCATCGGTTCAGCCTGTCCCCCTGGGTATGCCTTTAACAGGCGGGTTCTCACCATGTCCTAGTTTGCATGTTCCTGTACAGACAGTGTTCTCCCAACCCCCATCTCAGGTTGCCGTAAGCGGGCAGCCTGCTGTCTCGCAGCCTGCACAACTGCAGGGTTCACAACCCCAGCAGATAGTGCAGCAGCCTGCACCACAGGGTCCACAGTCCGGATTGGTGCAGGTACAGGGACAAAGTCAGTGGGTACCAAAGACGACCATCGTCGCTCCTAAACCCTTCACAGGGGATAAGAGAGGCGAAGACCTCAACACTTGGTTGAGGGCAGTCCCGGTCTACGACAAGTGCAAACTTACCTTGCCGCACGAGGAAGTGCTTGTGGCTGCCTCCTATTTAGAAGGGAGTGCAGCACGATGGTTGAGTGGTTTAGTGCAGCGACAGGGATACGGTCATGACTTTCGCGCTTGGGCGGTCACCCAGAAACTGGATGACTTTCTCAAGTTGATGGAAGACAAGTGACATGATCCTCAGAAGGCCCAAAAGGCCACTGATGAGATCATGACACTGCACACAAGGCAGTTGAAGTCAGTAAGGGAAGCCATTAACGTTGTAGAGCATCTGATCTGTGTCCCTTGGGTGCGCTATGACCCCCATGTCTTACTCACCTCCTACCTGAGATGCTTTCCCATGCCTCTGAGGAATCAGTTGGCAGGTGAGGCCAACATCAATATGCACAACTTTCCCTCGTTTAGCAAGAAGGCCCTAGACCTTGAGGCAAAGATAGGGCATGGGCAGACACCCACTATAGATGGTAGGAGAAAGTCACGGCCTCCCAACTGGAAGGCGAAGGGTCACATTATGTTTGTCGATAACGATGGTTCAACCATCGAGTTAGATGACAACTTCCAGGAGGGAGTAGGTTCAGAGGCTGGCATCGTAGAGGTTGCAGGGTGTGGAGTAGTCACTGCCGTAGCTCAAAAAGGAAAGGCGACTGGTAGACGCCGTGGAGGTTCCCGGTCAAGGAGTCAAGTTGACCCCAATGCTCCCCCATGGGAGAAAGCGGGTCTCACTGAGGACGTGTGGAGAGACAGGTACACCAGGCAGGCTTGTATTCGTTGTGGTCAATATGGCCACAACCAATTTAAGTGCCGCAATAAGAAGGTGACCGAAAAGATCCCGCCTACAATGGGGCAGGCGTTGGGATCCTCCGCTCCCGTTGGTGGCAATGTGGCCAGCAGTTCTGGCACTGCTCTGGGAAACGCGTCGGGCCAGTAGGAATGGTAGCTGTTCCTGCTAGGGTCGAGGTGGTGGACACACCCTCACCATCTCGAGAGATGGCCCAAACTACTGACTCCATAGTCGTCCCGCAAGCACATTTTGACCCATCGAGCCTCTGTTCGATGAATGTGTTTGAATCCTTAGAGGAGATAGAGGAGGAGTGTTCTAGATTAGACCCACTAGCTTCTTGGACGGCATTGGCCAAAACCCCTAAGGGAGAGTTGTTCGTCGGCGAGGTAGTCATCGGCGGCCGCAAGGCCGGGGTCTATTATGACACTTGCTCGACTAGGAACTTCATTAGTCGCGCGTGCGTTGAGAGGCTGCGCTTACAGGGGCGAGTGCAGCGCCTGAGTCGACCTGTGGAGTCGACCTGTGCCAACAAACAACGCATGGTAGTCAACGACTACCTCCAGGATGTTGAGTGTTGTTTCCCGTACGCGGGAGGGGAATTGAGACATCACGTCTCGTGCCTAGTGAGCGATGATCTCCCTATGGATATCTTGTTAGGTATGTACTACCTCTCCGTGGCACAACCCCAGTTTGACTGGGACCGAAAAGTGGTCAAACACACTTTGTTAGGTGGAGGGACCGCCAGATTACGTAAGTTGAAAGCTAGTAGTCTGATTGAGTCCCACGAACGCATGTGTGCGGCCGCGTTCTATAACTATTATAAGCAAAATCCGAAGGAGGGTATGTATCTAGTCTATGTCTCTGCAACAGGTGAGCCGGTGAAAATGCCACCGAAGATAGAGGGAGTAGTTGCCAAGTACCCTGATCTATTTGAAGAGCGTACAGGGGTTGTTGAGAGGGAGGTCGTCCATGCGATAGAGATTATCCCAGGGTCTAGTATCCGAAAAGGTAGGATCTATCGGATGTCTCCAGGCGAGCTTGATGAGCTTCGTCGACAACTCAAGGAACTCGTAGAGAAGGGTTGGATCCGGCCGAGCGTTTCTCCTTATGGATCGCCAGTCCTATTCGTACCGAAGAAGGAAGGAACACTTAGGATGTGCATTGACTATAGGGGCCTCAATGCCATCATTGCCAAGAACAGAGAGCCCCTACCGCGCATCGATGATTTGCTAGATAGAGTGCAAGGGTGTCGGTACTTCAGTAAGATAGATCTGAAGTCCGGGTACCATCAGATTGCAATCCGGCCCGAGGATCAACACAAAACTGCATTTCAGACCAGGTACGGTCTGTACGAGTTTGTGGTGATGCCTTTCGGCCTTTGCAATGCTCCTGACACCTTTCAGCACGCTATGAATCGGATATTTCATGACTACTTGGATAAGTTTGTCATCGTGTACCTCGATGACATACTTATTTTTAGTAAGACTGTCGAGGAGCACGTTGCACACTTGGACGAAGTCCTTAGTCTTCTTCGACAGCACAAGTTCAAGATCAACGGTGAGAAGTGCGAGTTTGGCCGCACTCGTGTCTTGTACTTGGGTTATGAGATTTCCGCGAAGGGATTGAAGCCTAATGACGCGAAGGTGGCCAGCATTCGTGACTGGCCGCGTCCTCAGTCTGTGACTGAGATGAGGTCCTTCTTAGGGATGACAGGCTACTAAGGCAATTTTGTTCAGAATTACAACATAGTGGCCGCCCCTTTGACGGACCTGACCCGCCTTGCCACCCCATGGGAGTGGACAGACAGATGTGAGGCTGCTTTCAGACAACTGAAGCATGCGTTGACACACCATGAGGTCTTGAAACTTCCTGATCCTGACAAACCTTTCGTAGCAACTACGGATGCTAGCCAATATGGCATAGACGTCGTACTTGTGCAGCAGGAGGGGAACAAGTTGAGGCCGGTAGAGTACATGTCCAAAAAGATGCCCTCTTAGAAGTTGGCGAAGTCCACCTATGAGAAGGAAGTTCAACTCTATGCGATCTACAAAACGCTCACCCATTGGAAACACTATCTCCTTGGGAGGTTCTTCTACATCAGGACTGATCACCAGACCTTGAAGTGGATGAGAACCCAGCCTGTGCTCTCCGCCGCTCTGAAGCATTGGATTGAAGTCATAGAGCAGTATGACTTCGAGCCCCAGTACATCAAGGGCGAGTACAAGGTTGCTGATGAGCTGTCGCGTAGACCAGATTTCTCTGGTGCGCTGATCACTGAGTTTGGGCTTGCGGACGATGTTACTCACTCTATGGTGGAAGCCTATCGCGAGGACTGGTTTATGTATGAGATCATACGTAGACTCGAGGCGAAGGACAAAGCGACTTCTGTCGAGTTTGAGTTGGTCAACGGATTGCTGTTCCTTGAGGAGGCAGGGAATAAACGTCTGTGTGTGCAAGATAGGGAGTCTTTGCGTAGTTTATTTTTAGGTGAGTGTCATGATGCCACGGGACATTTTGGTTTCAAGAAGACTGCAACCAATCTGCTGTAGCGGTTCTGGTGGCCCACGATGATGAGAGATGCCAAGTTGTACGTGGAGACTTGTCAGGTCTGTCAGAAAGACAAGCTCCGTACACAGGCCCTTCTTGGGCTCCTCAAGCCCCTTCCGATTCCGGAAAGGCCTGGTGAGCGCTTATCCATGGACTTCATGGACACAATGATCACCAGCAAGAGTGGAATGCGACACATCTTTGTCATTGTGGATAGGTTTAGTAAGTACGCTAGATTAGTTGCAATGCCGGAAACAGCAAAGACTGAGTACGTCATTAAGTTGTTCAAAGAAAACTGGGTCAGAGATTTCGGACTGCCTAAGTCTATCATTAGTGACCGGGATGTGCGATTCACTAGTGAACTGTGGAAAGCTGCAGCTGCAGAACAGGCACGCAGTTGCAAATGACATCGGGCAATCACCCAGAAGCGAATGGGCAGGCAGGGCAATTGAACCGCGTTGTACAACACCTGCTGAGGCATTACATCAAGCCGAATCAGGTAGACTGGGATGAGAAACTCGCTCTCATCGCCAGCCTGTACAACAACGTTGTGCACAGCGCTACGGGAGTAAGCCCGAACAGCCTGCTACTGACTTTCAAGCCTAGACTGCCCTTGGACTTCCTACTACCTAAGAATCAGTCAGCTGCTGCACCAGGGATCTTGGAGTTTGCTTATCGATATGAGCAACTGATGCAGCAAGCAGTCGAACAGATGGACAAAGCATAGGCGGCGATGATAGAGTCTGAGAACAAACACCGCCGCCCATCTACATTCCAGGTAGGAGAAAGAGTCTGGGTTAAGTCCTCAGAATTGGGACAGGAGTACGGGATTTCCCGTAAGCTCATGCCACAGTACTTTGGACCATGGAGATTCTAGATGTTCTGGGGAATGAAGCAGATGGACCATCTTACGTTATTCGTATTCCTGGTCACTTACACACTTACCCTGTTTTCCACGCCTCAAAGCTTACACCTTTTGAAGAAACAGATCGGTTTCCCTCTCGTCGCTCAATGCTGCCCCCAACCATGGATGGAGAGGTCGACATCGACGGCATTGTTGATCACAGGGAGATGCCAGTTCCAAGACCAACAGGTAGAGGACGTACTCCAAAACTGAAGCTGCAGTATAGAGTTAGGTTCAGACATCACACTGATCCAAAGGAGGATAGATGGTTCAGAAGAGAGGAACTGATGCAGACGGCTCCATAGGTACTTGCTCACTATGAGAAGACTCTGCAGAAAGGAAAGCGCCAGATTATCGAAGACTGAACTTCTCAGAGGACTAGCGAAGTATGGAGGAGGGAATGTGAGGCAGAAGGCCTCGATAAGCCCTACTGGGTCCCTATTTGCAACAGCGTCGGCCCCCCTAAGTGAAGGCAGGCTCGAAAGACCCCAAGAGGCCTATTTTGGGCTACTACGCAACTGGGGAAATTCAGGCAGTTGCGCAGCGCCAGTTGGTTGGAAGCACCCAGGCCCAGGCTGCCTTTCATTGCATGTAACGGAGGCAAGGCCTAGGCCGGCTACACAAAGTGGACCAAACAAAGGCTGAGGGCAGTTGGGTGCTGGTAACCGCCTCAGGCCCTGGGCCTGTTTCCTTCAGTCTGAGGCTCAACCTGCCTGGGCCTATCGGAAGCTTTTGGGCCGGGGCCTAGCACCGCAGCACAACACGCAGCAGCAGGCCACTTCGATATAGGGAAGGGTCTGCCCACGCATTGGACATTCGGGCACTGGCTGCTTTGTGCTCAAGCGCTGCTGCGCTATCGCTTGCCAGGCTCACGTGCTCACGGGCGAGCTGGAAGGAGCAGGCAACCATAGTCGAGTTGCGCTGCTGTATGCTGGATGGGGCGCATGGTGGTCCTTGGGTGCAAGTGGCATCTGTGAGTTGGGGAACGAGGTTGTGATTCATACAAGAGACATACCTGGTGCTTGAAGCGTGCGGCATTGGCCGAGATCTGCTCGTACTTCAGGGAGCTGTTGAGGTCATCATCGGCATTGTAGAGTAGGCTAGATAGGATCTGCCATCTGTAGACTGGGCGTCGAGCGCAAGATAGGATATCAACATTGGTTCTTCGTCCATGATGATGATGAGACTATTCCAGCATTGTCAATTATGAGCTTTTGATGTGTTCTTATTTGGTGAAACTCGTGATGCAACTCTGCTTTTGGTTCGAGGTCACGACTATCTGGTCTCATGTGTATGATGCTGATTAATTGCTGAAGTTCGCTATTGCTCATCTGCCTTGCAGCTTGTAGTACTTAACTATGTGAATTAGTAGACGGGAAGGATCCTAAATCGATAGACTGTAGTTAGTCCTTCGCACTCTCAAGGGCAGGACACAAAGTGGGTGCTCAAACTCTGAAACTGTTGGCTAGAGGCAACACCCGCATTTGTACTCCAGCAGACGCTTCACGTCTAATCTATTGCCAAAGCAGGGGGAATAGTGAAACATGAAGCAGAGTCCTTTTTTATTTGACATTACATGAATTTATGCAAGACATCCTACTAAGTTTAATAAAGATCATATTTAAAGGAGTTTGTGACAAAATAGCTTATGGATTTATCTTTGTTAAAGTCCCCCAAAAAATCAATGCATTAGATATTGCAAGGAACATGAATATGGATGAAGCACATAAATCCCGATTGCAAAATCACACTGAAGTCCAAGTAGTCAAAGCAAGAGCAGATAGCACAATGGAACCGAGTAACCATCCATTTGAGAACAATACAGAAGAATCGTGAGTCAATGTCCAAGCCCAACAGGGCAACACCAACAGCATAACCCAATGTAGCTCTCTCTCTGAATGGCGCCAGGCGCCCTACCNAGAAGAATCGTGAGTCAATGTCCAAGCCCAACAGGGCAACACCAACAGCATAACCCAATGTAGCTCTCTCTCTGAATGGCGCCAGGCGCCCTACCAACTCTACAGCCTATCACTACAACTACAGTATGAAGCAACCAGGCAACTTGACGACCAGCGAGTGATGATGTCAACACCAATGCCGACCTCCACCTCCACCAGGTACGTCTCCTCCTTCACCCACACTCTCCCTTGTTATCCCACACAGCGCCTTCACCTCCGAAGAACCACCTTCGCCCTCACCTCCCCTGCACCCTCAGGCAGCCCGGCTATGGCCGCCAGCGTCCTGCGCACACAGGCAGTGCCTGAACCCAGGCCCGATGCAGTTGGGGCCCGGGTGATGCAGTTGCGCCTCTTTCGTCAAGGCCTGCGGCCAGATTCAGATAGTGGGCCGATTTCCCTCTCTAATCGTTCACGGATCCTCTCGACTTGTTGGAGCTCTCTGAGCTCCCTTTCGCGAGGAGTCAACAGGCTGAACTGCGAGCCCGCCATTTGACTTGTAGACTGACGAGAACCTAACGAACTGGAAGTACCCGTGGACCCTGTTGGCATTCCCAACTGGGTCCCATTGGTCCCAGACAACGCAGCAGAGGATGTTGCTGAGCTACTCATGGCTGCTGCCCTGGCTGCTGCTGCAGCCTGTTCCCTAGCTGCGGCGTTTGCTGTTTCCCTAGCGGCTGCTAGTGCACGGGCTCTGCGTTCGGCACGAAGCCGTTTTTCGTCTTCCGGTTGTAAGGCCTGGTACACGTACGGGATCCTTCGTGATCTCGAACGTGTTAGTCTTGCATCGTCAACTGCCTCCTCATCGATGTCTGACCCGTTCATGAATTAGGCAAACATTATCTGCACTAGAACTCCCTGCTGGAGTCCTACCACAACATGTGTCTGACCGACACCTAATTTTCTAAAAATAGTTGTGTCCGGTAGGTCCCCTACTTTACCGATCAAGTGGCAGCCTACAACATTCACAATAGACTGTCAACATAGTCTAAGTGTACCTTGATTAGTTCACTTACAGCAACATTAGATAGAACTGGCTATGGTAGTCTACAACAGTCCTACTCTAATCTGTCTGTGAGGTATTAGCAGTTGTCAACCAACTAATCAAAAATAAACAAAGACCATGTTGCGGATGTATGACGAGTGGGTATGGTTGTGTATCCAGTTGAGCTTCAATTAGAACCTACCCTTCCCCTCAATCCAACATACCGGTAAGCATCAATGAGCAGCGGTGTCATTCGTGTGTAATCGGCCCAAACCTGTGCCCAAGTCGTTGCCGAGCAAGCCAGCCAGTCCACTCTTATTTACCCTCGTACGGAACGAGCCTTACACCCGGTTGATCTGGCTGATCAGGAGGAATATTAAGAGTGCCCCCATCTCTTCAGGAATTATTTAACGTCGCAGTCAGGATGACGATCACAGCCAGAATCAACCAAGTCCCCAACCAAAAATGCTTATAGACGGTCTGGTAAGCGTCTCATAAAAGGCTGGCACACCCGGCAGGACTTCTATTCAGTGCAGCAAGAGCCAAAATGGATAGCAGCCATCACATGCGTGACCTACTCCCATTGGGTTGGCATGGTGACCGTGACCCAGTGCTTCGACCAGGGCCCTTCAGAGGCACCGCCTTTTCTCTTTTCAGATGCTTCCGGGAAGATTGTCGTCTCTCAAGGTAGCGCGCTCACGACACCTCACCAAAAAAGAGGACTCTCAAGTTGGACTCACTTCCTCACGGTAAGAAGAGATTGAGAGAGTAGATAAGGTAAGGGAACAACGTACCTGGAGATAGCTGCCCCCAACCACAAATTTCTCACCAATTGAGCTGAGTGTGCATTTGATGACCGGTCTTGGCCTCGGTACCACCCACAACGCAATGCAGTGCCACCTCAGTCGAATGCCACATCAGCATGCTCTCATCACCCATCATACATTTCGCCTGCCACCACGGCTAAATGTCGTCTTAGCCTTCCGACGCACACCTCTCTACCCAGGCTGTGCGCCTGATCATGGCCTGAGGTCACAAGAACCAACTGCGAAGAAGCATCGTCAACGCACCAAGTCTGTATAACGCCAGCGCACCA